TTTCTCTTTATTTTTTGTAAATAGCAGTCCTCACCGGGGTGTTATGTGGATGCCCAAATGGCGTTCACTGGAGGACAGAGCATATCTAGTAGATGGGATGCTTGACTCTTATTTACTTTCCCCTCTACCTTGGCCTGTCAACATGTGTATGTAAATGCAGGTGGCCCATTGCCGGTTGAGAGAAGGTGCTGGAGAGAATTGTTATCAGAGAGAGCCTCAAGTCACAAATGTAGGGGCAGGTCTTGTCCTCACTGCATTCCCTGAGAGTCCTGCAGGTGATTTTGGTGGGGACACAACTGAATCTCTACTATCTGAAAGTATGAATCTTAAACAGACCAAATTCTGCCTTTAGGAATGTACCAGCTGCATTGAGGAAAGGAAACAGAGCCAAATACTTCATTTTATCTGAGTAATAAATAAATAAATCAGTGTTTTCCTTGTGCTCTGGCTTACTGGTTCCATGATTATTACTCTATTTTCTTTTTTTTTTTTTTTTTTTTTTTGGGGTGGGGAGAGTGTGGGGAAAGATATTGTTTTGATCTTGTTAATTTTAATTGAAAAAAGGTGTGGGAGAAAACTGAACCTCAGCATTTGCACTGTTACCTGGTATGTTTAACATTTGGAAAGAATTGGAAAAATAAGACTCTGGAGGAAAAAGCAGAAAAAACAAATACAAAACAAAACAAAACAAAAAACCCTCAACACAAAACAACACACACACACAAAAACACAACCAAAAAACCTCAAACCCACCAAACCCCACAGCCCATTGACTGAGCAGGGGACTCCAGGGAAGGTTTAGAATGCAAATGTTAAGAAAATTTCATTTTCTGCTTTCACTCCTGGAAACATCAGGAAGTGACAACCACCAAAAATAAGGAGACCCCAAATGTCTTGAAAACACAGCAAAATCTGCATTGCTTTTGCCTCTCTCAAAAAAGTCTTGGGAGTGGGGCAGAAGATAATACATTTTCCTCTTAAGCCTCCATTTCACTGCACTCTCAAATATACCAGTGTCATGGAAAAGAAAATCAAGTGAATAAATGTTGCAATTTATATATATTTGAATAGATAACAAGAACAATTTTACTGTTTGCCATAAATGAAAAACCCCACCAAATCATTCCTCTAATTGAGGTTCTGAAGCTCTGTTTATGGCTGCAAAGTGATTTGATGCAAAAAAATTACACATTTTGAGTTATTATATCACCCAGAAATTTGATGCCACTTAACTATGTAATTTTCAGAAATGATATAAACCCACTGCAGAAAAATATTCAGGGAAACCCAAAAGACCTCTTTTTATCTTTTTTTATGGGTCTAAAATGAGAACTCGCAGAGATCCTTGCACTGTATGTGAAGGCTGAACTGCCACCTCGGGAACTTTATTAATATGTATGTAAGTATGATCTGGTTAGATCCTGTGTTTCTGTGTCTTTTCACAAGGTGGAGCGGCTAACTAAGCCGATCAGATCAACACCCTGTGTTTATTATTATTTCTCTTCCCAAGCAGCAACATTTAAAGATTCAAAGAGAATGAGGACAGCAGCCACATTTATGTCAAGACTGTCTCAAACCTCCTTCCTCCCTTCCCTTCCTCTCTTCCCCCCCCTCCAAGTCCTAGATCTGTATAAAAAACAATTTGCTTCTAACTTAGCATGAGCTTTCTCAGTAAAGACTGGGAAGAAACTAAAATCACATCACACAGAATCTGCAGCTCCAATTTTTCTTCCACTGAAAAGTTATTTGAGCAAATGGAGAGAAAGTGGAAATGCATTCAAAATGTGTCCAAGTGACGTATCAAGCTTATCCCCTGTGAGGATATTTTGACTTCCTCTTTGCACTGAAGCCACTGCTGTTTATGTATCTATATCCATTCAAAATTTTATCTGAAGACATTGCACAATTAAAAATAAAAAATAGAAAAATAAAAAAAAAGAAAAAAGAAAAAAAGAAAGAAAAACCCAGAAGCTGAACATGTGTATGCAGAGCTCTTGACTCAGCATGCCTTGTTGTATATAGGATAAAATGGAATATTTAACATCATATGAGCTTGATTTCCCTTATGATGAGGACAGTGTTTCTGGATGAGAACTCTTCAAGTCCCTGGTATATTATGAAGACAGAAAAGATGATTACCTTAATACAAGTTATTTTCTGCAAGAGAGTGCTTTCCCCCCCTAATTTTAAACAAGGGACTTTAGCACCTTTGAAGCTAGCTAAAAGCCTGTTCTCTTCTTGCAGGTTTTGCTCCCGTTTTGCCTGGTTATTTTATTCCTTTTGGAGACTTTTTGTTGAAGTCGTTGTTGGGTTTGTGGTGTTTTTGTTGTGGTTACGTGGAGCTGCGACCCCAGGTTCCCAGGCTGATGGCGGGAGTCCGGGCTGTACCGTTCCCCTATGGCGGGCGAGCAGGGGCCGAGGCACGGGCCCCCTTTCCCGGCCGCCGGTACTCAGCACGGCCGTGCTAGTCCAGGACAAAGCGGGGAGATGCCAGGGCCGCCGCCGCCTCCCGGGGCAGCCCTCGGGGGTGGGGGGGGGCTGCCGCCACCGGCTACGGCAGGGCCGGGGGGAAAACAGAAGCTCGGGGCCAGCTGCAGATGGAGGCGGGTCGAGGGATAGGTCAAGGTTAGAGAGAGCTTGCTATTGATCTGGCTTTGAACGCGAGACAGGGAGAGCAGAGAGACTAAAGGGGGAGCTGTGAGACAAGACATTAACAGCTTTCAGTGCTAATGATCACAAGTGCCAGACGGGAGGAAAGAGGAGACTGAGAAATCACTTTGGAATTTTTTTTTTTTTCCTTATTGGGATGTATTTTCGGAGGAGGAAGAGGAGGAGGAAGGTTGGGGGCTCGCCTCCCTCAGTCCTGCCCGCACCCGAGGGGAGGGGGCTCCGCAGCCGGGCGCCCGCCTGGTCAGTCATTGCCGGCCCTTAACTCTTGCTCTCAGTGCTCACTGGAAGACACTGGTTAATCAACAGATGATGCCCAGTAACTTCCTGATAAGCTGCGCTCCGAAGGCCTGCAGCTCGCTGAGAAACGGCCGCAGCCGCTGCGGACTGGACTTTGCCCCCCACGGCCCCGCCGTGACCGGGCCGCAGCCCCACCGAGCCGGGCCGCGCTTTGTACGGCAGGCGCGGCCAGACGAAGCCTCCCGGCCTCGCAAGCTGGGAGGGAGGAGTGATCAAAGCGGGGAGAGGAGTGAGGGCAATCCCCAACCCCGCTGACAGGCCCGGGCCCCCTTCCCCGCGGATGCAGCGGCCAACGGAAGGGAGCCCTTTCCCTCCACCCCCCGCAGGGTGCCGCATCTCGACCCCGGAGGCTCGTACGACGCTGCCCGGTAGGGTCGGCGCGGGGCCACCCGTCGGGGCCCGAGGCCGCGGGGCCCGAGGCCGCGGGGCCCGCCCTCCCCTGCCCGGCGGCGGCGAACTCCCGCCGCTAACACGCTCGCCTTTCTTTGCAGGACCCTTCTAAACAACCCAAAACACACTGCGAATAACCTGAACAGCTTCAGCGCCGTTAAATGGCTTTTACGTGTTTGCCGTGCGCTAACACAGGCGAGCGTTGAACCGGGGGGGGGGGGGGGCTGAGGAGAGGGGCACTATGAGGCTGGCCCGGCTCTTCCCTTCCCGCCCGGGCGGGGAGCTGCGTGGGGGCCGGCTGCCCTCGGCGTGCGGCCGGACCGGGTGCCGGCAGGCCGGGGTCTGGCAGCGAGCTGTGAGCTGGCGGGCGGGTGTGGGGAGGGAAAGGCAGATTTGTTGGAGGAGGCGAGAGCGATGCTGTTTAGCCAAATTCTACTCAAAGCTGATTAAAGGCACCGAGATGAATTCTGGTTCCCCCCCCCCAAAGGCTCTCACGCAATTTAATACCAAAAAATACTTAACGTGGAAAGTAAATGACAAGACTGAAGAGCGGCTCTCAGCCTGCTCCGGGTGGAAGCTGGGTTACTTGGGTTTCTGCTCCATCTGCCTCCAAGCCCTCCCCCCTTCCAAGTCCCTCGCCCTGTCCAGACCTGGTGCTGAAAAGCTGTTCGCAACGAACAGTTTCCTTGTCTGGGGGCGGGGTAGGGGGAGATGGAGGCAGAGAGAGGAAAAAAAAAACAAATAATCGCAGGAGATGTGGTGGGAGAGCGGAGGTAGAGGAGAAAAAGTTGGTTTCCAAGAATCTCCCAAGTTAGAAGCGCAGGCCGTTGTGGGCATTTACCTGCGTGTGAAAAAGGAGGACAAGTGCACCGAGATTCGGTCCCTGGGAACTCGGCGTCTCCCGATTAGTGGCTGATACTTAGTTTCTCCACGGGAAAATCCTCTCTGCCAGGATTTTAAGGGGGGTGGGGGGGAAGAGAGAGAGAAGAGGGTCGGAGCGCGTGTGCGGATCGGGTGTGCGCGCGTGTCCCGCTACCATCACACTTCGGGTAGGGAGAGAGGAGGGAGAAAAAAAGAGAAAAACCCGTCTCCCTCAACCCACACAGATATTTGTGTTGTTGGAAAACTGTTCGAAAGAAATGCAAGGGGGACGTGCTCGCCGCCGAGGAGCTGCGGCGGCGCCTGGAAGAAAGAGCGGCCCGAGTTCCCCCTGGGAGCTGCCGCTCCCGGGAACGGACGGCGGGGAGCGTGCCCCAGCGCCGAGCCCGGACGGCGCAGAACGGCCGCCGCAATGAACACCAGCGCAGCGGCGGCACCGGCGGGCAGGGCCCCGCAGCTTCCAGCCCGCACCTGCCTCCCCCGATCCCGGCCACCGCCCCCCGCCCTGCCGAGCCCCCGCCGCGCCCGGGGAAGTTTGGCCGTGCGTGAGGATGCGGATCTGCTTCTTGCCCCCCCGGCTCTCCTCCGCTGCCGGCACTCCGCGCACCACGAAAGCGAAGCTGCACAAAGCCCGGAGCGGCTCCGAGCCCTGCATGGGCTCGACTTGGTGTGTGTGCGGTGCGTGGTGTGCGGGTGCGGGTGTGTGTGTGTGTGTGTGTGTGTGTGTGTGTGTGTGTGTGCGCGGGTGTGCGCGGTGTGTGCGAGTGGCGTTTCTTGTTCTCTCGCAGGGTACAGTGTTAAAAAGCCACCGCTAGTCGCCCCCAGTGCTCCTACTCTCTGGGTCTTTTTGTCTCTAGTGCAGATTAAACGTCACGTCCGCACTTGAACTTGAATTTTATCCCATTGTACAGAGGCAGCCCCAGCCATAGAGAGACAGAGCGCTCCCAGAGAACCAGGACTCCGCCATCTTCACATTGCAATATATAATAGTAATAGCCAGCACCAGCCCAGCTGCACTGGGGGCTTCCTTCCTTCCAGTCCCAGTGCCAGGCGAGGGGGGAAGAGTGCAAAGTGGTGCAGGAGCATTGGCAAGCCAAAAGCACCCGGGCAGAGCAGTGCCACTTGAACTGGGAAAGAGGAGACACAGTTTTGGCTACCCCTTTTCAAAAAAATTCTCTCTATATATCTACCCAGCAAGGGTCAATTTCTGAAAAAACATTTTTTTTGGCTTTTTTTTTTTTTTTGTGTGTGTGTGTGTGGGGGCAATCCCAATTCTAGTACTTTTTTTTTTTTCCTGCTTTTCAGATTTTTGCTTTTTATTTTTTTTTTTCCTTCCTTTTTTACCCTCCTGGTGGAAGAACGCACTTGCCAATTTGCCAAGCACTCTGGAAAGAGAGAAAAAGAAAAGTGTCACTGGCGGTGCATATCCTCCTAAGTTCAAGAAGAGATCTGGAAGTCCAAGTGGCAGAAGCAGTGGAGAAAAGACAGTGTGTGAAAGAGAGAAAAAAAAGAGCGAAAAAGACCTGATGATGATGATGATGATTTTTAATTGAGAGGGGATCCCATCCAGTGCACCACAGCAGCGACAAAAAGGAGGCGCTTTTTCTTTTTTTTTTTTTTTTTTTTTTTAAGAAGAAGAATTCGATAAAGAAGAAGAAGAATAAAGAGGAAAAAAAACAGAGGAGGATCGGCCCCCCACTACATCCCCCCAAACCAGTGCAGCTCTCCAGGCGATGCCAGTGTAAATGCCAGGGCAATGTCCCGTCGCAAGCAGGGAAACCCGCAGCACTTGTCACAAAGAGAGATTATCACACGTAAGTTTGAACTTGGAACCAGACCGAGACGAAATCGAGGAGCAAGATTAGGGAAGGGGAGGAAGCTGGGGGGGGGGGGGGGGGGGGGGGAAGGAATGACTCCAGGAGAAACCAAAGCTGGTAAATGACTTCAGAGAGAGGGAGAGGAGAAGGGAATTAAAGAGGGGAGGGGGGTGTGCGGCTAGGGGGATGGGCTGGGGGTGGAGGGGGGGAGAAGCCCGAAGTTTGCTGTGCGTTTTTGCAGCGGTGCGGAGGTGAGGCGGGCAGGCAGGCGGCGTGGAGCGGGGAAGGCGCTGCCAGCGGGGCGAGCGTCGCGCGGGGCTCCCCCGGGGAGCGGGAACAGGGGGCGGCGGGGCGAGGCCCGCTGCTCCGGGCTGGGCCGGGCCACCCCGCGGGACTCTGCTGCTCGCCCCCGGCCCTGCTCCTCGTTCCCTGCTCCTGGGATAGCGCGGAGCGGTGGGAAAAGTTGCTTCTGCGTGACAGGCGGGCCGGGGAGGGGGAGGCGGATCAAGGTGGGCAGCGAGGGGGAAAGCAGCGGAGCGGCCGGGAGGGAACTTAACGGAAAGCACGTGGAAGGGGTGGCCGGGGCAGCTCGGGCCGGCAACGGCGGGCGCCGAGCTCCCGTCGCGGGGCCGCGGGGCAGGTAGCTGGGCAGGCTGCGCCCTGCCCGCCCCAGGTGCATTGCCGGAGGGGGAGATAGCTCTCCTCCAGAGAGGGGAAGAAGCAGGATCAGCTCGGCTAGGGTTAGAGGCAGGACAAGGGCTGCAGAGCGGCCGGGGGCGGGCGGCAGAGTCTGTTGGTGGCGGGGGCCGCAGGGAAAGCCGAGGCGGGGGACGGGGCTGGGGGGGCCCGAAATGCAGGCCGGGCAGCGGCGCCGGCTCCGATGCTGGGGCAGGAGCGGAGGCTGCACTTTGCCGAAGCTCCCATTGTGAAATGAAAACACACACATACCCGCCCCCCGAAAAAAAAATAGGGAAGGGAAAGATAGAGTGGGGGGAGGGAAGGAAGTTCCCCCCTCCCCCCCTCCATCATCCCCCCTCCTCCCCGTTCCCACCCCTAAAGCTCCGGGAGAGGGGCGAGCGCTTGCAGGCACAGTCGGGGGCAGGTCCCCGCGCCGGGCACCCCGCTCCTCTGGTCCGCTGCTCCCGCAGAGCTTGTGCCGCGGGGGAAGAGGAGAGGGTCTCCTCCCGGGGCGCGGGGCCCCCAGGGCTCTCCGCTGCTCCGCCGCCACCGACGCACGGGGAGGGGGTGGGAGGTCAGGAGGTCCCCATTTACCTCCTGTAGCATCGGACCTGTTTCGGGGAAGGGGGGGTAAAACATGCCCGGGGCTCCGTTGCGAGGACTGGGGGTGCGGAGGCCGGGATGGGGCCCCGCACCGCGCCGGGAAGGCCGGCCGGACGCACACCCCCCACCCCACCAACCGAGTCCGCAAGTTGCTGCGGGGGGCGGCGGCGCTCACGGAGCCAGCCCGGGGCTGAGCCTGAGCTGCAGCGGATCCGAATATTTATGTTGAGATTTTAAAGAATTTAAATAAATAAATAAAATATTCCCCCGGCTTCTCTCCCCTCCCCTGAAAGCCAAGAATAGGAGCCATCTGCCAGGAGCATTTGGTGCTTGCGAGCTCTTCTCTTTGTTACCGGTGATAAATTTCTGTTTGTAAGATCTCCTTGGGAATCGATATATATATGTGTATATAATTTTTCCACCTCCTGTGAGATTTTTTCCTTTCCGGAGCGGAGGGTTGTGGGGTGACGGTTTGGGTCCCGAAATCGCAATTTCTTTTGCTCTGTCTTTCCTTTTTCTTTTCTTTTTTTCTTTTTTTTTTTTTTTATGTGTGCCTTTATTTTTTAACCCATTCCTCCTCCACCCCCCCCCCCTCCCCCAGCCCATCAGCTGGCGGAACATAAATGAAGATGCATCTGATATTCAGCTCTTTCTGGTGTGTATGTGTGTGTGTTTATGTGTTTAATTCATTGTTATTTTGGAGCCAGATTTGCATCACCATAAAAGGTGGCTTTCCCCCCTCCTCAGTTTCCTCCCCTTCGTTAATTGCATTTTTGTTTTTAACCATCCTGTTTGGAAAACGTGTTTACCATTTTGTTGGTGGCTTCTTAATTTCCCCCACTTTTAATTTTTTTTGAAATTATTTTTAAAGGAAAAGCACCCACAACCCTCTAAATCCCCCTGTGCAATTTCTGCCACTTCTTTTCTGTCTCACTTGTGAGGAGATGTGGGGTGTTGAAAGGGGGTGCCTGGAAAATCTGGTTTGTTGCACGCGTCTGAATTTGTTTAAAAGGGTGAAACACTTATTTTCTCCCTGCTTTTGCTGCTGGTGAGGGTGGGGGTAGAGAAGAGAGCCAGGTAGGTTTGTTCTTCCAATTTGATCTCCTTTTCTGATCGGTTTACTTGAAAGTAAATAATGAGGCAGGAGAGCATTAAAAGGTACCGAGTTGCTGCGTGTACAATGGGTTTAGCGGGGAGGCTGGGGAGGAATGGAGAGCAGAGCGGTACGCAGCTTTCTTCCCTCCCCTCTTGCATTTATCTCCCTCTCCATCCTGAGGAAGCTGGCGGAGCAATCAGACTGCATACTGAACAGTGGCAGAAAAAAAATGAAGGTATCCAGGGGCGGTGGGGGCCGGGACGGGGGCACCGGGATGAGTAGCATTGCAGCGCACAGGCGCTGAGCCTGGGCTGCGAGGGTAGGGGGTTGCAATCTCCGCACTCCTCGGGAAGGTGTCTGTCATTCCTGGGGAAAAGCAGCCAGGGAGACTGTGTTCCCTAAAGGGGAGTTTGGAAAGTAGAGGGCAACGGAGTGGGAAACATTGCAACAAAATAAAGCCAACCCAAGACAAGCCCCCAAAGCTGGGATGAATTGATACTGTTTTAAGAAATCTTGCGTTTATGTCATGCTTATCTTGGGCTTCCCCTCCCCGCGACTCCTTTTTTGGCATCTGTCAGGAGAGTTACATTTCAGGATGGATTGGAGGTCCTTGCCAGGCAAGAAAAGAGAATGGGAGAGAGATGGGGAGAGAGGGAGAAGGGTTTTCTGACACTGCTCAGCTGGAGTTTATTGGGTTTCATGCTCTTGGTGTTCAGAGAAATGTTTAGATCCTGAGCGTAAGAGAAACAAACACAGAAAGCAGGGAGGCTGCAGTGTAGCTGTGCTCCAGAGCTGAAGCGTCTCATTAGCACGGTGGTCTTTAAGACTACCAAATGAAGTGGCCTGTTCGTCCTCACCAGGCTTACTCAGGCAGCCTTGCAGTGGGTGTATATGTAGGACCAAACGTGGGGAAACACATGGAGATGAAAGAGTAGCTCTGGACCTTTCTTCAGTGGTGTTGGGCAAGAACAAACTTTGTAGCCGAGCTCACTTAGATGGCTGGACAAAGCAAAAGGGGTGATGATGTAGAGAAGAGGAGGCTGAGCTGTGGAGCTGCTCCGTGCGAAGAAATGTTATTTTGGTTTGATTCAAATTGCTGATTTTCCAGCTTAAGATCTTTTTTTAACTTGAGAAATCTGTTTTCAAACTAGCCCTGCATTTTGCATTTGAAGGAAATGTGAAAGGCGAGAGCATGTGAAAAGCTCACTGGTAGCAGTTTTGCAGAGGGTGGCAAAGCAAGAACATTTCTGTAGAGCAGCAGCAAAGATTGGGAGGGAAAGGCACAGTAAAATCATACAATTCCAGGTAAAGCACCAGGTTTCCCAAGGAGGCTCTTCAGTACCTGGTCAACAGGTTCCCTAGGAAGAGTAATAGTTTCCTTTATTGCTTTGTATTTGTATGTAATCATTAAACACAATAATAAAAACCTATGATTTTTTGCATGTCAAAGTTTTGCAAATTGCCTCAAGGAGCTTCTCTTAAAATGGACTTAGATTTAGTGCAATTAATGTGCTTTTCCTGCAGGAAAGCCCCACACCAATGTAATCAACTCTAATGCAAAGAAAATATAAGTGATGAGTGGAGAATCAGTGAGGAAGTTATTATTATTTTGGAGATGGCTGACTTTTTCATAATATCCGCATAGTTGTGCACAGAGCGGCTTAGCATGCTTTTAGAAGGCATTACATGTGTTGGCTTTAAATAGGACAGGAAAGAAAAAAAGGGTCGGTGTGCTGTTGACTTCTAGGTTACCTTTCATTTTACTATATTTGTATCGGGTTTACAGGATCGAAAAATAAAAACTGGCACATTTTCATAGTTCCTGGTCTTTTAAATTATTTTGTAAAAACTGGCGCAGGGTGACTAGACTATGGATCTGGATTGTTCTGTCCTTTTTGGTTGATGTGCTCAGTGGCTTAAATAGATGTACGGAGGGTGAGAAATAATTTGCATTTTTTGCTGGTCGGCAGATGCAGAGCATATTTTGTCAGCCTTATTTAAATACCAAGAAATAAAAGTCTTTAGGATTTTGCAACCTGGCTGTCTTTAGTAGGAATGGTTGGAGCCCATGTCTTGCACAAAATGCATTTCTCTGCAGAACAAAGAGTTGTGTTGTGGCGTATTTGATAATAATTATGACTTAAAGGAGCGTGTGCTCATACAAATTATTGATACTGGCTACCAAATTCAGTTGACACCTCTTCGGCGGCACTTCCCAGGGCTGAGCTTGCTGCTACCAAATCCTTTCGTTTAAAGAACTCCTCGCACGAGATGTTCGCTTCTCTCCCACATTTCCTACCTGGATAGCTTTGCTCTCGGTGTTGTTTGTAGATGGGAAAATACTTTCCAAAATAAACTTTGCTGGCTTTTTCAGTTGCCTCGCAGTCTGCCTGGTGCCCCGGCTGCCAGTGGCGGGTGCTGGCGACTAGGGGGAGCTCCCGGCCCGCCGAAGGCGGCCGGCTCCTGGATGCTCTGCCCGGGAACCGGCCGCCGCGGCTCGGCCCGCCGGCGCTGCTGCAGAACGCTTTCGCTAAAGTTGTAGTATTGATTTTCATGCGAAGATCTATAGAGCGCTCGCTGAGAGGGGCTGCCAGCCAGACAAATTTATTTTTAGCTAAAT